GACCAGCCCTGAGCTAACATCCAATGCCAATCCTCCTCTTTTTTTGCTGAGGAAGACTGGCCCTGGGCTAACATCCATGCCCATCTTCCTCCACTTTATGTGGGACGCCGCCACAGCATGGCTTAACAAGCGGTGCGTCGGTGCCCGGGATCCGAACCGGCGAACCCCAGGCCGCCACAGCGGAACGTGTGCACTTAACCACTTGCGCCACCGGGCCGGCCCCCCAAGTTCTTGTTTTTGTGTTTTTACCCTGAGTCATGAACTCAGGGCTTTGTGTTGTTTTTAAAAAGCAAATTATTCTCCTCTCTTACGTGAGGTGCTTGAGGTCTGGATGCTACTGGGCGTTTAGTGCAGGACACTTGCACTGAATGCATTCAGTGCAATGGAGTTCCTGAAGGATTTACGTAATTCAGCCTCTCGTAATTTATGAACAGTTTCTCAGATGAGCAAATGTGTAAAGTAAGGAATGTACACTCTTACCCCATAAATCTATAATTACTGCAAATGAGAGGCTATTGCTGAGGCTTTATTTAAGGTTTTTCCAAAATCAGCTTCACTGAGGTATTATCTATGTACAATTAAATTGACTAATTTTAAGTGTACAATTTGGTGAGTTTTGACAAATATAAACAGTTATGTAAGCATCACCAAAAACATGATATAGAACATTTTGAGGCTTTGATGTTGCTGCAGTGTCGTTGCCAGCTTACTGCTTCACTTTTTTTTTTTTACCCCATTTTCTTGACTATTTTTACAAAGTTTTTGCAAGCTTGAAATAAATGCGCCTGTTTAAATGGAACTTTTCATATTCTCAAGATTAGTTCTATCTGTGGAAGAATGATTGTAGGTGGGGGAGCTACTGGTTTTATGAGCAGTAAAATGCTACATTAAAAGGAAGGGGGGAAATTAGCTCTATAGCTATAGAGCAGGAGTCAGCCCATAGGCCAAATCCAGCCTGCCGTCTGCTTTTGTAAATAAAGTTTAATTGGAACACACTATGCCCATGGCTATGTTCTGGCTACAATAGCAGAGTGAATAGTTGTGACAGAGATATTACAGCCTGCAAAGCCTAAAATATTTACTATCTGGTCCTTTAAGAAAAGGTGTTCTATCCCCTGGGTTAGAGCATGCCCTGTCCTAAATTAACATCAGGGAGCCTTGTTGTTTGGCCTTTTTTTTTTTTCTGAGGAAGATTCGCCCTGAGTTAACATCTGTGCCAATCTTCGTCTATTTTGTATGTGAGACGCCTCCACAGCATGGCTTGACAAGTGGTGCAGGTCTGTGCCTGGGAGCCAAACCTAAGCCGGCAAAGTGGAGTGCACCAAACTTAACCACTAGGCCATGGGGCCAGCCCCTGTTTGGCCTTTTTTATATAGTGTTTGATTGCATCTTACCTCTATACCAAAGTTAATAGTGTGACAGTTTATTTTCTCTTCATTAGCTCTAACATCCTCCCTTGAGTGATATTATTTTAAGGCATACAAAAGCATTAAAATTATCACAACAGTGAAGTTAAATACTAGCAACAGTGATCATTGAAATTGCTCAAAGTTCCAATGCATACGCATAATGGAGTAGAAATATAGGCATTTTATTTAGCAGATAAAGTAGCGCTCTGATGTGGAAATAGTAAAGGTGCTGTGTACAATGAACTCAATTTGTCAGCTTTGGAATTTTGCAATTCTTAATTTTTAAAAAACATTCTGTGGGGTTTGCACAAATATGCATAAGGAGACATTCAATATTTTTATATCATACCACATTTCAAATTTGTATAATTTAACTTCACATAGAATATGACCACATTGTTTATCATACCTAGCACTAAAGATACTCTCTAGAACTCTCTGGCCTGTGTATCCGAGTGGGTATTTGACAATTCAAAAGCTTAGAAGGTGGTTTTGTCATGAGCCAAAGTGGAGGTGCACAAATCTCACTAACCAATATGCTGTGGTGTTGCTGCTGACACATCCATTTGATAGATTTTTGATTTCCTGTCCTTTTTTTTTAAATAATTTTATTTATTT